CTGTTATTTAGTTCAGCTCATGAAAAATGGGGGCAAAAACAAAAGTGTTGCATTTATAATTTTGTTCAGTGTATATATATTAGGGGTGTAACGGTTCACAAAATTCACGGTTCGGTTCGACACGACACAGTGGTGTTCGGTACGTTCGGTACAGGGGTAATTGGTTACGTCGCAATGTTGGAAATATTTCTGTTTTAAACCATGAAGGCGAGCCAATGGATATCACACACAAGCAACGTGCAAACTTTAAGCAAGAGTTATGTCTGTAAACGTCTTAATCTCAGTCAATTCACTATGTAGAAAGTGAAAGTAAAAACAGAGTGACTGAGTAATGACGGAGCTTTCGGCATCTGACGCCGCATATTCTCTCAGAGACGACGAGAGAGTAAATAGCCTAATCTTTTGTTATCCTCGCAGCACATCAGTTATTTGGTAATTGTAATTTTAATTTAATAATAAAGGTAACTTCATAACAATAATAATAGGCCTAATAAAAATAAGAATGTAACAGGCCTACATTAATTGGAAATGCCAAATATCTTAATATTGCCAACAATTGATGTTTTTGACAATATCTCTGGCTATCGTTGATACAAGATCATCGTCTTTCGACGCAACCCAACAAGGGGAGGTTATCGCGGGGCCTTTCGCAGTGCGTGTCCTGCGTGCTCGTCCGCTAACGTTACACCACTGGGCAGACAGCACATTGCCTGTTACGTCATTTGGGCTGCCTTGTTGAGTGCAGTGGCACTGAAAACATTATATTTCACACACTTTAAGCTGTTGTATTTTCCAAATGCAATAGGATTAGTCCAACGAATCGAATTGTTCGGTTTATAATGCTTACTGAACCGAAAGCCTCGTACCGAACAGTTCAATATGAATATGTGTAATATATATATATATATATATATATATACAAAATAATAAAATTATTTTTACTTATTTGTAGTGAGTCAGGGCATGCTAATGCAATAAAAATATTTAGCAAACTTTAAATCTGGCATTTACATCTAAAGTTAATGTACAATTTAAAGTCGGCGTTAAATGAGAATTCAACCATTATATTTTGTAAATGCATATTAAAAATATTTTTGTGAACGATTCATCGATGTATGTTTCTTTTGTTTTTTTCTTTTGGACCTCATAATGTTCTCATAAACCTCATAAAACTCAAACTTCCAGTGAAAATGGCACATTTCTCTCTGCTGAAGTATGCCGGACATCTCAAACATTCAGTCTGCTTAAACTCTGGGCCTCCATAATCGACCACAAGTTTGCATCTATTTTTTTGAGTACAACGTCCAAGTTCCAAAATCCACTCAACACTGGAGTACAGTACCAAGACCCCGCACTACATTTTTTTTTTTTTTTTGATAATGCATTTCACTCATCGCTATTTCCATTTCATTGTGACTTAAAAATCACAATCATTCTTCTAATAATCAGAGACATCTACAGGATAAGAGACAAGCGATAACTTAGATTAGAGAATACAATACTGTGATCGCATTGCTAATGAGAAATCTATTTTGGAGTAGCAAACATTCAGTAGGGCCAGTCTTTAGGTTCACTGAGTTTCTGGCTGTGTTCAGAAGGAAGAAATTAGTCCTACAATCCAAGCAACTTTACCTGTTGGGGGATTCGAGAGAGTCAGGCCTTCCAGATTCCTGTGTGTTGACCTGCTTGTGTGCACCACCTTTGGTTTGAAAGGATAATACATGCTGTTCTTGAATTACAGCATCTCTTCTCAAAGCGTGATGTCTGCTGCTAGTGTGATCTGAAATGTGTAGAAGATCATAAGTATAATTCTTAAAATGGGCTAATCAAAAAAAAAAAAAAAGTCAAGTCATATCAATAAATCTGCTTAATCACAATGTACAATTGCAGTTAATTGAGCAGAAAAATTCAAACCTGAAATATCTTGATGTGGTGCAGAGTCACCTTCATCCTCTGCAGACACTTCCTCATCCTCACCTCCAGAGTTCATGTATTGTGAGGAATCTCTTGGATCAGTGGTATCTGAGGAAGGACTGCGGGTCGGGCGCCTCTCTAATGACACAATGTCTGCAGGCTTCTTCGCGGTCATAGATCGAAAGGACACTTCGGCTTCTTTCAGGGTCATGTGAGGTGAGTTTAGTTCTTTCCATCTATGCTGCTCTCCTGTCCTCTGAGAGACGTCCCAATCAGACTCCATCTGCTTTTCATGCACGTCACTCAAATGTCTGCCATCAAGGAAATCACCTGAGTTTAGAATGTCATCAGATGAAATGGCAGTGCCACTGACTTTTGAAACATGGGAGTGCAAACAAAGGCCACTTTGTAGAGAAGAGAGTGAAGGATGATTAGGTATCAGCTCTGTCTGAGATGGTGAACGTGTGGTTGTGACGCCATCATTTCTTGATGAGCCATTGGAGGTCTGGTGACCCGTGAAGATGACAGCACTCTGTGATGATCCCTGTGTGCTCGGAAGCTGTAACCTGCTCGGGAGCTGCGCAAGTCAAACAATATATATGGAAGATGTAAGTAGTGGATGACAGGAGTTAATGGCAATTCACGCAACAACAACAAAAAAATCTCATAATTTACTTACCTTCATGTTGTTCCAAACTAAAACTAAAACCAAAACTTGAAATAAAAATTAATTAACCGAAATACATACATATATATATATATTATAAGGGAAAAAACTAATAAAAATGAAGGAGAAAAAACATTGCTAAAACCTTCACTATGATAAAAAAAAATTATTTAAATATTAACAAAAACTACAAAAGTATATAAATGACTCTAAAATAGAACTGTTTCTAAACCTGTATGATTTTCTTTTTTCCTGTGGGACACAACATATTAAAAGTGGTATATAGCAACCGGTTATGATTTGGAATACTGCATGCTTTTTTTTTTTCCATGGTGCTTTTCATCATTTTTTAAATCCTCAGCGTCATTCCCTATTTGCTTCTACTGTATATTGTGAAAATTATGTCATCTCCTTTTGTTTACAACAGTGAAAACAAAGTCATACGGGTTTGGTAAAACACAAAGGTGAGAACATTTTCATTTTTGGGTAAGCTAACATTTTGAGGAGAATTGACTGTTTGTGGCATGTCCTTTTGAATACCCATGGGAAGAGTTTGTTAATATTTTGACAAATCTAAAAAAGTTTTTTCAATTTTTCAAATATATCTGTAAAAATGTGATATACTACTTTTCTATATTCATGAAAATGAAAGGAAGTAAAACTGCAGAAAACAAAAAAGGCATGTCAAGTACACCGAGTCAAGAGGTTTAGAAAGTGCTAAAATTAATTGGGTGGTCAAGGATACCTTATTGCCAGCAAGTGGGAGCTACATTTTACTTCCACTAGTCCTTGGCCTCAAAACTCAACCCTGACAATTCAGGTTACAGTGGCTTCTTTTCAAATAAGCTTTAATCCAAAACATTTCAAGGTATCATTTTTGTGGCTTTTTACAGACTGACTAGGATTTCTTTTGGTCAAGGTTAGATTTTCTTCCAACTGTCTGTTCAGCTGAGTGCACTGAGATCAGTGTCTTAACTTTTAATCTTATTAACAATCCTATGCTCCTAAACTCTGTTTCATGACAGAAATACCACACTACGGAGGAAGAGTGGCGGATGGGTACAGAAAAAAAAAAATCAACACATAATAAAAAATAAAAAAAAACATGGCTTCTGTTTCTTTTCTGATAAGGGTCTTAAATACCAACCCGTTAGCTGCTTAATAACATCCACTGTAAACCACGCAGTCTGTCTGGCAGATCCAGTGTAGAAGTAAAAAAAAAAAAAAGAAAGAAAGAAAGGAAAAAAGAAATGGAGTGAGAGGAAAAGTTAATTTCTTGGCTGAGTGATTCCATCGCTAGCTGCAGGGCAAAGTAGAAAGTGTTTCGCTAAAGTAGCAATTGATTCTTCTATCAATCTGTGGCACGCGCCTGCTCTTCCAAGGAATATATTAAATATGAAAATCATATCCCGTTATCATGGCTTCCCAGCTTTCAGGCTGGTAAGCTTCCCTTAATGAATGCTGCAGCCTCGGGGACATGCACGCAGCCAGTGGTGGCGCCTATGCATAATGGAGTGATTCCTCCCATCTCTGCTCATTACAATATCGGCAGGCTAGAGGGAGGGGGGGATGCGGCACAGTCACAAGTGACTGCTCTAGACGGAATGCTCTAAGTCATTATGAGCTGTCTTCCACATTTCATCCGAGAGAGCTCGGAGTCGCTTGAAGAGAGGGAAAGCTACAGCCATGGGCTTGAACTACATCGTCAGTGCGGGCAAAGCAGCTAGGATTAGACACCTGCGGCACTACAGATACGACGAGAAAACTGAACAGCCTCACGACCGCCGCCGAGCAATCTACATAACAGCGACTTTTATTCGAGGGACTGACAGAAAGAGTTCGGACGCATATTGTTTTAGCTGTCACACACATGACGTGAAATAAACACTGCAGACAAAACTGACACACGGTCAATTGGATTGCATTAGCTGCCAGAGGCTTCCGCAATACTCTTTTCCATTCTTTTTATTTTTTTTCGTCATTTTAAATAGCCTTTTAAAAATGCGTAATATCATTTTGTTTTAAGACTGTGATACTCCTTTGTTAAACCAAAGCAGCCATTTGAAGTCATTTGAGCAAAACAGTAATTACTTCAAGCACTTTCCAATTTGCTTTTGATTATAAATTAATTGTGGCCTTTGAACACTGATACCCCATATAAACTGTCAAAAGTGTCTCCTGAAGAGGGAGGCTGAGCTGAATAATGGTTGTGGTATTTTTCTCTACAACTCTCAACTCTCTTCTTTTGAAAAAAACGACACACTTCCATTGGATCCCATCACAGCACTGCAGTTTTATCAAAGGCACACAGATAGCTTTGTAAATTCCCCACTGAACTGTAATTTCCATAGATGACATGATAATTTTCTCTTACCTCGTCCGCTTCTGATTCCCCCCTGCTCCCCATTTTCTTCCTGTCTTTCTTCAGTCTGGTAATATGATTATTGTACTCCAACTGAAATTAATTCAAGTCAAATCATTACTAACGTAGATAATTTTCAACAATGCAAACGACAAGAATATTTGCTTATAACCCTAGTTCTTTAAAAAAAAAAATCTGTAGTGACTGCAGTTGCGAGACACAAGTACACAGGAAATTGCAATTTACTCAAATCTATAACCTCCTTTTTTCATTAAATATTACAAACAAAGCAGCGGAGGAGAAAAATTTTTATGCCCCTAAACGTAGCACTAATCAGTGTGTGTATTCCTTTGTGAGTGCCCTTAATAGTGCCTGCCAAGGCTCTTAATCAGTTTGGCGAGTTAACCAGTGGCAGAGATGAGGGCACTGGGATTACCTCCAACCTCCCACTTCATTCTCGTAAGGCAATGTCTGCACTCCCAAAAGGGACCAGAGTAACAAACGGTTTACACCCCTTTTAGACGTGATAACACAGCTACAAGCAGACAAATCTTAGCACTGTTAAAATCTGGGTGGGGAAGAAAAAACGTCAGCGAGGGAAAGAGAAAGAGTGTTTTAGAGTTGAATTTGATGTTTTGAGGTCATGGTGTGAATTTGAGCAATTAAGTAATAAGGATCAATTTAGTGTAATAAAAATCAAAGTGATACTCCTTGACTGGCAGCTAAATTAGCAGGTATCTTTTCCTACTGCAATTCAAAGCAACCATTTCAGCAACAAAACAAAATATAACAAACACATATGCACACACACACACAAAAAGTAGGAAAACGGGTTCTTTTCACAAAAAGGCAAATTCAGAGGCACTTCACTATCTGAATACAGGGCGATTAATTTGTGGTGGTGTAATTAAACAATTTGTCTAATTTGATATTAATCTGTGGAGCACTGTTCAGTTTTAAGTGACAATCTGACGGAGCTGTTGTTTTCTTTTTCTCATTTGTGTGCAGTGATAAATGAGTGCTGGAGTGTTTATGATTGTTCCCAAACAACAATAAGTGCGAATGTTTAAACACTGGAAGACAATTAGACAGACAATTACAGGATTATGGCAATGGTCTAATTGTGGCTCAGAATATATGTCTGGGGGAAAAAAAAAGAATCTCTTAGTTTTGGGAAATCAAATCAAATATTCAGACTACACTAAAATTTTTGCTCCCGAGCAGCTGTCATTTGGGTCACTGCATATCATGGTAAGTATAACACACAAGACTTCACATTTCATTTCACGTCTACAATCAGAACAACACAAACATGTGTTCTGACATGAGAATAACACAAAATAAAATAACAACCAAAAGATAGGCTGGGCTGCCAAAGCGACAGTTTGATTTGATGTATTTGCTCTAAACTAGGGCTGGACAATAATTCAATATCAATATGTATCGCGATATAATTTTCTTCAATAGCGGTGATATGATTTTTAAACACATTTCCGATATTTCGATATACATTACCAGTGTTTCCCATACATTGATTTATCTGTGGCATTTGACAAAGTTGAATAAACATGAGCACTGCACGTTTCAAAATCAAAACACGTCGCGGGTGTTTTATATGAATGCATCTTTGAAGGGAAAGGACTGTCTTCAGAAAAGTTTCGATGGCACTTTCATTTGATCTGATAAAGAAGCTTTCATGAGCGGAGCTGATATGATTACAGCCGTTACCGGGGAAACCACTGTTTCTGCCGCTCTCAAAGCGCCTCCTGCTGGCAGACAATCAGTTTGCATTTTCAATAAGCCCCTCTCCAGCAACATGTTTTTGTTGTTTTTTTTGTTTGTTTGTTTGTTTTCTGCAGCAACTCCGAGCACTTTTCATACACTTTATACTGGCTAAAGCAAATTTGTTTTAATCTTTAAGAATAATCAGCCTACACTACCAGTCAAAAGTTTTTGAACAGTAAGATTTTTAATGTTTTTTTTCTTTTTAAGAATTTTTTTCTGCTCACCAAGCCTGCATTTATTTGATCCAAAGTACAGCAAAAACAGTAAAATTTTGAAATATTTTTACTATTTGAAATAACTGCTTTCTATTTGAATATATTTTAAAATGTAATTTATTCCTGTGATCAAAGCTGCATTTTTAGCATAATTACTCCAGTCTTCAGTGTCACATCATCCAGAAATCATTCTAATATGCCGATTTGCTGATTATCAATATTTAAAACAGTACTTTTTTTTTTTTCAGGTTTCTTTCATGAATAGAAAGATCCAAAGATCAGCATTTATCTGAAATAAAAAGCTTTTGTAACATTATGCACTATTCCATTGGAGTCAGTGTGATTTCTTTTTTTTTTTTTGGGAAAGAAATTATAAAAATGAATACTTTTATTTAGCAAGGATGCTTTAAATTGATCAAAAGTGATGATAAACACATTTATAATTTTACAAAAGATTTCTATTTCAGATAAATGCTGTTCTTCTGAATGTTATATTCATCAAAGAAACCTGAAAAAATTATACTCAGCTGTTTTCAACATAATAATAAATTATTTTTGAGCAGTAAATCAGAATATTAGAATGATTTCTGATGGATCGTGTGACTGGTTGCTGTATTTTAGATCAAATAAATGCAGGCTTAGTGAGCAGAAGAGAATTCTTTAAAAACATCAAAAATCATACTGTTCAAAAACTTTTGACTGGTAGTGTATTTTAGCCTATAGTTTGAAGTTAAAGATATTAATATTAATTAGGTGAGCCTGAGCAGATTATTTGACAGTGATTTCACATTTGTTTGTATGAAGGCTAAATACAAATAAAAGGTGAATTTTTTTTTCTTTTCTAAAATATTATATGGTTTTATATGAGGTGTCATAGACTTGGCAAATTCATTTTTCATAAGTTTGTATGCACAGACATCTGTTGTGGGCATTCTTGGCAGTTTTTACGAGGCTTTGTTTAATAGTGTTGATATCGATATCAGAATTATATCGTATCGACCGAAATTAAGAAATATACCGTGATATAAATTTTGGCCATATCGACCAGCCCTACTCTAAACCAAATCAAACGTACATCTTCAATGATAAAAACTGTGAAACAACAATACACACAGAGTCAGTACTGTTTTAAGAAGCGCATATGATGGATTTTGGGACAGATGAAGCTGCCCAAGGTTGTTACCCTCTTTTGAAGCAGCCTGCTACAATCAATGGAGAATTCTTTCATTTTTGATGCCAAGTTCGCCACATTCCCAAGAAGCTCAAGGTTGCGTGTCTTTGCTTGCTGCTCTCTCTCGCGCAGCTCCTTGTAATAGCAGCGCATCTTGGCACACTTCAACTTAGTCCTGTGAGCAGGAGACAGACATGAAACGGACAGCTTTGCTTCTCTCTCTCTCTCTCTCTTTTAAGAAAAGGCTGCACTGACTTTGTCTATTATTTATGGAAATAAATATAGAGACCTGTTACAAATAGGTCAAACATTACTATAAATAGGTTAATGCTAGCTTATTAGTATAACTAAGTGCTCGTTACTGTGCATAGTACAAGACAAACTAAAACACTGCATATTTGTCAAGGGCCACTTTACAGTAGTACTAATGGATTCTCCACAGCTAAGATGGAGTTTTGTGACTAGCAAAGGGCGAAAATGGATAATGATGGCTGAAATTTTAAAATGAATGATAAATGCTGGTCTACTAACCTCTCACATACCCTTGACCGTCATGGCCTCATATCAAAATTCTTTATTTTTATAAATGCATTTAATTGAGCCATCATAAAAACAAACTGTTCTCAAGCACTTAAACAGAGACAGATGACACAGTAAGTATCACAAAATCATTGATGAGTGCGTAGTCTACTTATTTGTCCTGAGATAAACATTTTTATTGGAGAATGCCTATTATATTATATCAGTGAAACAATAAAACAATTGAAGTAGCATCAAAAATTGTCACTACAAAATAAACTCATCAAAATAATAATAATAAAAAATACATAGGATAAAGGATAAAAATGACAAATAATTACTCAAAGTAATAAAATGAAAGCACAATAAATATAATACTGTACATAGTGAAAGATGATAAACATTTCTTTTCTGCCCTGAATACAGTCCTATATATCAATGCACATCAAAACATGTGCTGTTAGCTACATGAGGTGAAATCCATATTCATCAAGCTATCTGCCTTTTGTCTACATATTTACAATGGTTTTATTTTTATGGATTCTATGTGGATGCTGGTGTGGGATAATATAAATCATTATATATTTTTTATAATTCTATTTGTTTCTTGATAAGATATTTACAATTAATATTTTTTGTAAGGTTCTAATGTTTTTATACTTACAATCTTTCCTCTGATCTTAAGTAGGCAAACAGTTTTTCTTCCAGCTCATGTCTCCCTCTCTCCCTAAATACAGAAAAAAAGAATCTTAATACACCTGCAGCTTTCAGAGTTCGTGTGTGGCATTTGAACATTTCTTATTAAATACATAGCTTAAATAGATCTTATTACATATAGGCCTATAGTTTAAACAGATTACATTTATTACATAACCAGATAGCGTTACCAAACATACTAACTTTATAATACAGTATAACTTTACATTTCTCACAAAAAGAAAGCGACCAAATATAGTGATACAGTATACAAATCTGTCATCCTGAAAAGCAATAATCTGTGAAGGCTAATGTTAATTTTTGAACTTGTTTAATACTGAAAAAAAGACAGATAAGCAAACATCTAACATACTACTTGAGCTCACTACCACACACAGATTATTAATAAATGATTTGTTATTTTAAACGCTATAATGAGTAGTTCAGCGCACTCCCACTAGTTATCGCTCGACTCACCGAGCTCGACAGCTACATCCCGGTGAGAGCTGAAATCTACTGCGCTGTCTCATTCAAGGCCCACTTAAATTTCCTAATGTTTATTTCTAGACAATACAGCATCTATCGTGTCTAAGCTGAAAGAAAAAAAAGTACACCATGCTCTTACCGTTCGTGCATGGTTTTTTGAATATTCCCAATATGGTTGAAATACTCGGTATTGCAGAAAGCCATAGCTGTTTTGTTCGCTCTTCACCTCGGTGTGACAGGGCGCGTTGTTTACAGTGGTTGCCATACGCACCGTTACCCAGGAGACCGCGCGAGCTAGTTGACTGAAGGGCGCGAAAATTTCTCTCAAGCGCTGCTAGGAACGTCGGTCGGCTGGAACAGGAGTGAAAAGTTACAAATGGCGCGTTTTTACTAAAGACATCCACATTAACCCGACACAAAAAGTACAAACCCCACGTTTTACCTCAGAATATTAATATTTAATAAAATTTAATAATGAATATTTAATACGAGACGAAACATACAAATGAAACAACATCTTCCACAAGAAGATACAAATGTACAAATGTATCCAATGCCTTTTAAAAAAGTATTGTGATGTAAGTTATATTGTAATGATTTAAAATGCTTTTGGGTGAGGGTGCTTCAAAATAAATAAAGACCATTCAGAAGACAACTCAGTAAATGTTGTAATTGTTCATACAGGCCTACATTTTATTTGAAACCCTCCATTTCCAACTTTTACCGATTCTTATAGTTGGGTTGCAGTATGATCTTCATATTCAGTATTACTGAAGTATAATGAATGAAATAGTATATGTGTTGGACTTCTTAATATTTCAATTTATGACTTTTATTTTGATATTCATTTTGGGCTGTGAATTGAATTTCCACCTAGTTCTACGTCCAATATCGGAAGTGGTTTTGCTTTAGTCCCCCTAAGACATTTCAGTAAGCCAAAGATTAAAGTGGGGTATTATGAACCCCAGGCAGGGAGTGTGTTGGACTTTTTAATATTTCAATTTATGACTTTTATTTTGATATTCATTTTGGGCTGTGAATTGAATTTCCACCTAGTCCACCCCAGACTTCCTGTTTAAAAGGAAGTAAGCCATATTAGTTTGGTGTTCACTGCAAGGTGCCCATGCGGTTCCTAACATCCAAGTCCATCTTACCTTTCACAGCCTATTGAGATGTAATGTCTGTAAGTAATTGTTTGATCATGATGTGAGGTTGTAATTCTACTTTGTATTTTCAGTATGTTTGGAATTTTCTCCTTATTTCCTAAAATGTTTGTGTTGATATATAACTTTATTTCATCGTTGGTTATTTTTTGCCTTATGAATGCTTATTCATTTGATGTTGATTTTCTTGTTAACTATGTGAAATTTACATTTGTATACTTTCTTTTCTTTGTAGTTTCACACTTAAGAACCTAAGAAACTGAGTCTTCGTCTTCGTGGAGTTTATAGTGAAAGTGTTTAGGGGCTGGATAGCTGGATTATTGGAAACATCCAGTGAAGCCAGTGACCGTATATATGACTGAATGCACCAGAAAATGTCATTGCTTTTGGCTAAACAACAATAAATGACAGATGAACTTACCGTAGTATTTTTTTTTCTTCCAATTATAATTGATTATAATATAGTTGATAATTTGCTTCATATGCATTGGCTGTTGACTTAATGACCAAAAATACTTTGCTTTCATCCTGTCTGTTACAGGCTGAGGCTAAACCTACTGTTAGAGGCTTAAACCGTTTTTTTCTGTCATGATGTCAATTTATAAATAAACATAAATGAAAAATATGAAAAAAAGTGGTTAATATTTCTTGGTTAGTAGTGTTGATAACACAAGTTTGAGGTCTGACTGTGTAATTTGTTAAAAAAAAAAAAAAACTCTCTTGGTAACTTTAACATTGACATAAAATAGAAATTCACCCTATTTTCGAAATACATTATCTTATTGTGTACAGTTTATCAGTGCATGCTTCTTTTTTCTTTCTTTTCAAATTTTTTTTTCTTTTAATTCTCTTGGTAATTTTAACATTGGCATAAAATAGAAATTCACCCTATTTTCGAAATACATTATCTTATTGTGTACAGTTTATCAGTGCATGCTTCTTTTTTCTTTCTTTTCAAATTTTTTTTTCTTTTAATTTTGACCTCACAATATCATAATTTTGAATCACAATATCATAACTCGACCTTCCGGTTAAAAGGAAAGATGCAGAATGAATGCAGATGCAGATGCAGAACTTCTCCAATCATTTAAGCCTGGAATACACTAAACAATTTTTGCCCTGATTTTCCACCAATTTACAGTCTGGACAAGTTGACACTAGTTGCTGAAATTCAAAGCCAGTCTGCAGATTTGAGTTGACAGATTTCATAGAAAATTGCGTAGTGTATGATGGTCACAGACTCCGATTTTTTTAGCTTCAGACTCCATGCAGTCGGAATATATCAAACATGTTTGATATTTTCATCCGATTTTAGAACACATTGTTTTTATTTGGTAATCGTCTCCTTGCAACAAGGGGCATGTTTCTGCATGAGTTTGTTGTGTCGGAAAGGCTTCAAAGTCTGGTAGGCCACGTTCACACAGCAGCAGAATACGGTTGTCAGTCATGTATTTTAAGTCCTTAATACGGTTACGTTCACACTTCACACACAGTTCGGTTATTTACGGGTGTGACAACCGCATTCTGTAACCGAACTCACACCTGTAAATTTTAAGGACTCACAACAAGCGCATTCTCGGAAATCAGGCGCAGAGGATTTGCAAAGAAAATGTCGGAGGATTTCGATATAAACCAAGGGGAGACTGGTTTTCCTTTGCTAAAGTAAGGAAACTTTGCTTCCTTTGCTCCTGTTAACAAACTCGCGAGACTAGCATATCTCAGAGGCGCGCGTGCTGCGCATATGTGCTGCGTCATCCGCTGGAACGGCTTCCGCATATGACAGATAACGGAAGTGAGAGAAAAGTGTTTATTACATTTGAAATATGGATATTTTTCTTACAAAAACTCATGGATTCACTACAGGATGCCTTTCTTCAACCCCCGGAGCGGTGTGAGGCACGTTAATTATGGATGCGCGCGCTTTATTTGACGACTTGTGGACTGTTTAACTGCAACACCCGCTGAACGCAATGATAGAGCTTGGAATAGCCAGGACAATTTTTAATATAACTCCGACTGGATTCGTCTGAAAGAAGAAAGT